AGTACGAAGAAAAAGAAAGAAACCGTCGCCCTTAACCACAATGACTTGCGCTTTCCGGCGAGGAGAACTCGGTGAAGCGTTACGAAACGCTGCAACGAACTGTGTCTTGTATACGCGATGACACTTCTTCAGCTGTGATGGCTGTTTCGGAACGTGTTTTTGCGTAGAAGATTGCGGAAGCGAAGCGTCTAATCTGTCCGCTCCGAGATGACATGGGAGCGGATTCTCGACAAGCCTGTCTTTACAGTGCGCTTCCTTGTCTACCTGGCCTTTCGAGGATCACAGTATCCTACCTCCGTGGTCACGGTTCTCGCATAACTTCAAACAAATATATTCAAACAAACGCACAAATGTGGTAGTTGCTTCTGACGGCCGTGGCCTATCCACTTAACGTATTACTAGTTAGGATCGCACTATCCTAATTCCATGGTCACGGTTCTCACGTAACTTTAACGCACGAATGCGGAAGTTGCTTCTGACAGCCGTGGCGTACCCACTTACCGTATTATTTTTTTTCTTTAAACGCATGGTTTCGTAAACCGACATGGGAGAGTGGTATCGCGAACAGCGTGCTTAGTTTAAAAAAGAAAAAAAAGAAGCTGTATGAAAAAAGCATAGCGCAAGTGAACGCTGTTACCGTTCAGCGTCTAGAGACCGATTTTAAATGTCTAAGCGACTGAGACACATATAGCCATCATGCTTTGCAATGAAATTTGCAATAAAGTTTGCATACAAACAAACAAAGCAAGTTTCAATTAAACACAAGTTCATGTCACTTTGTTTTACACACGAAAAAAGAAGCGTCGCGAATCTCAAGAACGTCATCTATCCAAAGCGGAGTCGAAGCCTGTACTTTCCATCATTCCCATGAGGGTACAAGCGCCGCTGAAAGAGCCCACGTAGACACCAGCGCCAGATTCTCCTCTAAATGTTATTGTATAAAACTCTGCGGCACATTACCTGCTCAGCCATACCTTTCTTTTTTTTCAGAAATCGCAATGCTCGAGAAGTTTTCTGTTTTTTTTTTTTGCTTTAAAAATGAACATTTATTAATTTACTCCCAAATAAATGCAAAATTTATTGCATGGTGGTCATGCGAAAAAGTACATGTTGGATGCGCTTGCGAAACCGAGATTGCACGAAAGCGGATTACTTGGTGCAGTAACACGTGTGCCGAAGCTCCGCCCCCGTAGCTTTGGCTGTGCTGCCCCAGAAAGTTGTCGCCTAGTATAGGTACTCTAATATGAGGGATCAAAAAGCCGTCCCGGGGACCTAACACTGGTTTAGAAAAATTTATTGTCACAAACGTCAATAACATTCAACAGAACATTTTTTTTCTTAGACACAGATTAACGATAGTGACAAAGAAGGCGTCATTTACATGAACATGGATATGAGATGACGTTGAAAGAACATGTATATTCGATGGTGCACACAAACACTTCGAGGGGGGGGGGGGAGTTTGAAAACAGGGGGTAACAATTTAGAGTATAGGGTTCTCTACTATGGCAGAGTTTAAAGCTGTCCCTTGGGTCTCAAGGCGATTGAAGCTGTGTGGTTAGATAAAGTGGGTAGCGATTTAGAGTACTAGATACTCTACTATGGGAGGGTTTAAAGCCGTTCCGTTCTGTGAGTTCTGCGCACAAAATCGCACATGGACAATCTCCCAAAGCACTCGATGTGGGAGACGAAAAGGGGGTAGCGATTTAGAGTACAGGGTACTCACAGATACTAAGGGACCTGTGATGATGCCATCCGAACACGCCCTAGCTGCCCAGCGTATACAAGCACCACACTAAACGAGCACCCACGCTATGTAATTTTGAAGTGGCCTTCGGTATAGTGCCGGTGGAATATTATTGTTCCGTGTAAATAAATTATAAACATTGAAACGAGTAGGCCTATATTCATGATAAGATTGTAGAGAGTCCTAAAAGACGCATATCTTTCAATGCAAGCTCACCTACAAGCCGAAGAATTTTTAATCGGGCAGTCTCATTTAGTTCGGTGTTGTATGAGCCAAGGCTGTTTCAGAAAACCAAAACCCCCTTAACTATCACAGGGTGTTTCAGCTAGAACATCGCCCCTTAAAACCTGTCTGTGGAGAGAAAACGCCCTTACATCCTTATTTGCAAATTTCCGTTAATCAAAAGGCTGTTCTGCTATCTTCAAAGCCGCCTAATAGTGAGAGGTGGTTGACACTGGTGGTGCCTACAACTCAATATCCCCTCAACAATTGCAAGCTACAACGAAACATCAGCAACGCAGTAATCTTCATAGGCAAGTCGCTTCGCTTGGCTCGGCGGCTGACCCGCAGGTCACGGAATCGAATCCCGGCTGCAGCGGCTGCACATTCAATGGTGACGAAAATTCTGTAGGCCCATGTTCTCAGATTTAGGTGCACGTTAAAAACCCCCAGGTGGCCAAAATTTCCGACGCCCTACACTACGACGTCTCTCATAATCATATGGTGGTTCATATATCAATCAATCAGTTCGTGCTTCCCTCGGCTGTTTGTGAACTATCTGTACGTTTCTGCACGTCGATTGATCTTCGTTTAACGTAAACGCGTGAACAAAGTCGCGCCTGTTTCTCGCGTTTTCTTCGCATAGGCGGGAGCGTGATGCTCGTAGGCTTGCTTTATCGCGCCACACGAGATTGGATATCCGGTGAGCCGTCTCAGTCAGACCAATGTAACGCGCTTCCCGCAACGCATAATCGCCATCTCTGTACTCCCGGAGCCAGCCAGCTTCCACGCCGTAAAAGGCCTAGCATTTTCTTCACTCGTTGTTTTGTTTTGATTTGTTTAGTTTGTTTTGTTTCGTTCCCTCTTTGACGTCACTACCTCTACAACCATGGTTGCTTCCCCGTTCGCCAGATCTTCATTTATTCGTTTTCCTAGATTGCACTGCTCTTTTAGACAGCTACTGATAACCCACTCGTCTCACGCTGATATTCTTTTTCCCGCTTCTTTTTAAGACTCAACGGTTGCGTTTTGCTGCTGTCTTCTCTGAAAAGACGGAAATCAAAGATGTCTCTTTATTGCAGAGTTTTTTTTTTTTTTAGCGCAGTAGTCGCACGTTGGGTTTTCCCCGTATGGTACGAGATGTGACTGCGCACTAGAAATGTGTACGCCGGTTACATTTAGCGATAATGCGCGGAATACAAGGGCGTTGGGACTATGCGGGTCTGAGGTCAAACTAAGGACGTTTCGGCGATCAAATAAGAGATTGCGCCGTTCTGTCCTTTACCTTACCTACCCCACGGCCGTAGGTAAAGCAAAGGATATGAACGTGCTGGCGACTTAAAAGAAATGGATCGAACGAGATAATACGTTTGGAGGAGGCGAGTTAATGTATGTGCTTACGTTGTTGAAATAAAGCAAAGTGAGCGCGGTACTTGATAGAAGAACTTCAGAGGAAATTCACGTATCAATATACCAAATTCTAAAAAAGACACAAAGAAAAGCAAGAAAGAGTAACTGGTGTGTCGCAGAATACTTATGTAGCGTATTGTATGACAGTTTTCATATAGAGTAGAAAAAAGAACAGATAAAGTGAAGTGAAATGTACGGAGGTGTATTAAATATTTAATGCAAGATGGCCTAGCAAGGTGATCATTGCAGAGACCAAGAACAACAGTTCGCTAGGACTGACTAAATGCTATTCCGATGTCAGTGTTCTGCATTGAACTTTAGTAGTTGAAAATCACGGTGTTGGTTTGTTCGACTGCACGGAAGGAGTTTTTTCATACGAGGTAACGCTAAGCTGCTGCGTTGGGCTTGACGTGCACTTCCGTACACTGCTGCTCGTCGTATAGGGCAACGAGGCGATTATATGAATGTTGCACACAGCATATCGAAACAGCGTGCACGAGAGTGGAGACGATCGTAACGAAAGCTCAATGCGTTGAAATTTGCCTGACACACTCTAGACTGGTTACTTCGACAGGATGCAATCACAATATCGATTCCTCTCTCCAGAGCTGACGCTGCACGGAAGCTCCGCATGATTGCTCGCGAGCGCACCAAGTCGCAACGGAACGAGCCACATTTCACGCACGCACGATTACATACCACTGACCCGACTCTCGGTCTTCAAATTCCCCCAGAACTTCGCCGAGGAGACGCTACTATGCTGTGCAGCCCCGCCGCGCTCGTCTAGTGGGTAAGGTACTCGGCTGCTGACCCGCAGGTCGTGGGATCGAATCCCGGCTGCGGCGGCTGCATTTCCGATGGAGGTGGAAATGTTGTAGGCCCGTGTGCTCAGATTTGGGTGCACGTTAAAGAAACCCAGGTAGTCGTAATTTCCCGAGCCCTCCACTACGGAGTCTCTCATAATCATATGATGGTTTTGGGACGTTCAACCCCACATATCAATCATACTATGCTGTGCAGGTTGTGTTTGGGTGTCGCATTTACCGATGCGTATACGCGTTCTGCATAGAAACGGCCGACACTGCAGCACGTGGCCATTGCAGCAGTGACGAAACAACTCGGCATGTTCTGTGCGAATGCCCGCCGTACTGCTCGCAGGGACAGTATTGCGGGCATTTGTAGCTCTACAATGCACTACACCAACTGGGCAACGAGACTCTTTCGGAAGAAAGAATCCTGCGCCACCGAAAGGACTTTATGTCACAGAAGAAAGCTGTGGAGGCGCGCCAGCACTTGCTGCGTTCAATCGGTCTCTCAAAACGACTGGGATCGAAACGTCCGACGTGTGTGTGTGCATGTGCACTTTTCCCCTTAACTTATTGTATCTATTTCTATCCTCTTTCCGACTCTTATTTTCCCACCCCTGTACAGGGTAGCAAACTGGTTCTTCTAGGTTAACCTCCCTGTCTATTCCTTTATTTTTTTCTCCCTCTTGCTCTATCGGGATCACATATCACAGCTGCGAAACAATAAGCAATCGTTAGGCAATAAGCAATACCAAATGACACTTGTTGGAATTGAGTTACTAAGCCTGACGAATTTTGGTATTTTGCTTTGTGCGCAGACTCTTGCCCACCCATTCCGAATTGCGGCATTGGATACACGTGCAAAGTGGTGAAGCACCCGGACAACTGTCCCATCTGCAAATGCGGTCAGTATATTTGCCTGATATGAATTACCGATCATTTCGCCTACAACTAGCTGCTGCGATGTTAGTGAATTGTTACGGGGATAGATGCCTATGATGTTGATGAATAAATAAATCATGGAAGTATTCACCGATATAGCGGTCAGTAAATCGGGATAAACAGGTCCTTCAACCGTTGTATCAATCACTCAAAATGAAAATCTTACCTTAGAAGACAACATGGAGGACACTATTGATTTGGTTAGATTCATTATTGTATGGATACGTTAGATATGACCATAGCGTGACTATTCCTCAGTAGCCTGAGAGCTGATTTGGTGCGTGGTGAGCGACTGATCGTGTGCAAAGTGCATGGTGTGCAACAAAGTGTATTATTAACCAAGAATTCAGCTAATTACTCCCGACTGAGGTTTGCCGAGAAAATTGCATAAGTCACTTGGTTCGTGAACGCACTTCTATGATATCTGGTAGATAGTCGGCCTACCACCGTACCACTCAGCAAACCTCTAACACCTAGTATGGAGAGTAGTGGGAAGTACACGTCGCCAGCTCGGACCAGGGAGTGCAGCTCGCATTCCTGGATCAAGTCCGCCGGGCGGCTAAGGCTAGCGCAACCCTGGACATAGGGCCCCAACCATAGAAACTCTAAAATCCCCCTTTCACATTTTCTCTCAAACAAATTTTCACTCTCTCTCCCGACTGAGTCGGGTTGCTTATAACATTGTAGTGAAGCAGCACCTTCACCAAGTGGGATGAGGTTTGTTGATGTTGTGAGGTCGTAACGAGGATGTACCATACGGTAAAACAATGCAAGGCTGGCACAGGCGGCACAGGCTCTCGCGCTATCACAACGCGGGTATTTTTCGTCCTCTTTCATAGGCGCATACCAGTTGGTGCATCTGCTGTACTGCAACGTAATTAAACACCCACTGACTAGGCTAACAATGTCTACAATATCGTTAACCTCCATGCAGTGCCCTGTGACGACAAGCCTTGCGTGCCAAAGGAAGGCTTCGGATGTACCTCCATCCAAATGGCCACCGGTTGCCGGATGTGCCGCTGCCTGCCCTGCAGGGAGCTCAAGAGTTGCGAGGCACCGTGCACCAAGCAGCGCAACTCGGCCGGCTGTCCCGTCTGCGACTGTCCCGGAACCAAGGGACCCTTTGGCACGACAGCCGGCAACCCGGAAGTGGAAAGCATGCCTTTCGACTACCAGAACGATGCCGAGAACAGCTTCGACCCATGAGACAGCGGAGTTGTGCAGTGCGAGCCTGTTATTCATGTGTTTTGACATTGGACTGGTAGGCGCAGCTGTGCCTCGATTCAGTGAGCAATGGCTTGTGGACCTGCGTCGTTTTAATAGTCTCGGCAGAGTTACGGCGTTGATGCATTCGTGAAGCGCTCGCTCAGCTGATCGTCACCATGTAAGGTATCGGCGCAAGGAACCAAGCCGGGTGTGCTAGACATGTCCCTATCGATGACTTGAACGCAGCTGGTCATGAAAGAATGTAGCGAAACGAAACGCGACAGCTTAAGGTACACTTTACGCAATGTTCCCCGAGTGCGAGATCTCTCTCATATACTTGGCTGTTTTTTGTGTGTTTTTTTCTAATCGAGAGTAGGCTTTTTTTTTCTAGAAATCCCTGAAAGCGAGAAATGCTCGATACTTTCGCCTGGACAAAACAGCATTGCCGTTTGTCTAGCTTAAGCTGAAGTGCCCCAACGTCTCGTTAAAGCATCGTCCGGGTGTGGTCGTTCAAACCGCGAATTACTACTCGTATCTAAATAGTTTACCGTAACTGACGTGGAAAATACCTCCCTACTTGAGTGTCAGTACGTGTAGAGGATAGGTCAGTTATGACCAAGGCCCGTGCTCATCTTGGCCACACCCTTGAAGATGTTTCCAACCAGAACGATTTGGGTATCGTACGCGCTGCACACCAATGGGTGGCAGCCGGCGCGGGACGCTGGTTGCTCCACCTTCCATCTTCATTAAAAACATTGTACATTCCTGAGGCAGTCAGATGGGACTCATGCGCGGTCGACGCGGTACACTTGGCGACTTCACTTAATGGTACATGGCATGTAAATGCTCAATTCACATAAATGACACTTCGTCATCGTTTTGCGTAAAAAACAAAACAGAGAGTGCCCTTTGCACGAAACACGAAATCTCACGCCAGATTTCACCTTGTGTGCATCTGCATGTAAGCGCATTAAAGAGGAAATACAGGCAGCGAAATGAACGAGACACGGCTTCTATGTGCACGTTACTAAAGCCGCTTTAGATGTGGATTCAACGAACTTGACAAGTACACGCTACACACAATGGCTGCTTATTTTTGAGTCCACTTCGTATAATTGGGTGCAGCAGCGAGACCCGAAACTCCTGTCGGTAATTGCTCACGTGTGTGCTGGTCATCTGTGCTAGTATTATAACTGCACGATGAGCACTATGCCCACCGCTGAGGGCGATGAACGCATCAGAGCATTTGCCAAGAAAATGTTTACACTTCATATATCATGCTACAGACGTCATTTAAAACACTAATGTACGTTTTAAAATGCCTGCAGAACAATCAGTTGCACTATCACTTATAGGCACTACAATTTACGTTGTTTCACAAGTCTTGTTCCGAAGGTTCTGCATGGAGAAGAAATTTCATAACATGCAACTATATTTTATTGTGGGTTATATCAGCGTTGTGTACAAATGCTCACCATGCAAAGCTCTACCGTAAGTATTTCGTGTTCACCCGACACCCTGGCTCGACAATGATGTGGAAGCACTGTACAAGTGGCAGTTCTGTGGCTTTTCGAAATAAGGATTAATCAGCGAACCAAAGCATTGCACGAGATTTTCGAAGTGATGTTGAGATTTGTGGGCTGATGTTTACCCTATGCACGTAGCCTTCAACCGTCCAATTTGAAGAAACTTTGAGCAGCTTCAGCCTAATCTGAAAGTAGGGCCCTCACAACTGCTTCGCCAAAAATTTATTAGCCAGTCAAAGGCCACAAGTTACTCCATTCTATCGCTTACGCGTAAGATCTTCATATGAAAGCAGCACATGTTTCGTGCTTTTGAAAATCAGCCTCGTCACATCAAAATGACGCGCTGTGTAGGTTGGCATCTGTGTTTGACATCGAAATCTGCCGCTGCGGTTTGACAACGACTCTGTTTGTGTCGAGACTTGCGAGATCCGTTGTGCGATGCCTGATGTGGAGCATAGTCACGGCTGCTTTACGCGTTAAAAACATGAACACTGATAGTCTGCAATTGTGTGTTTTTTTTTTAAACCCAGGCACTGCATTCGTGCCTTAAATGAAACAACAGAACAGCGCAAGACGCGTCAAAAGCGCTAATGAATGCTGTTAGTACATTTTCAAATGCCAAAGTACCTTTTTTGATGTATTCATTAAAAGATTTAAACATACTCATCGGCCTTGGCTCTACATTTCTCATGACCTCCACTTTTAGTCATTTTCACACGTCAGCCGATTTCAGCACGTGATCACCATCTCTGATCGAAGCTCGTTATCTCCGCTCGAGCTGAATTTACATTTAAAGGGGCCCTGCAAGAGTCTTGGAACAAGGTCAGAAAATGCTGCTGATTGGTAGCGGAGACTCCTCCTGAGAACACGCAAACCAAATATTATAGTGCAGCACGTGGCCTGAAATTCACAATAAATTTTGTAAATTAGCCAAAAATCACTTTCTTTTCTCTCGACAAACGACGGAACAAGGTAAAAAAATCATTCGTCACGGCCGTTGCATCAGCCATTGGCTGATTTGAGCATGGCGCGCTTAGTCGATAAGCGAGACGCTAAGTGACCCGGACATGCAATAACATCCAAATAAAGGTGTTTTATTTATTTGCACGGAACTAAGCATCTTCCTTTTCCTACACAGCCTGAAAACGAAAAGAAAAAAAAAAGTTGCAGATTTCACGTACCGTGGGAATCGATGATACGTGAAGCACGAATGAGAAAGAACAATAATATGTCACTTTAAAACTAGCACAACATTACAGGGTGGACGTAAATTATGCCGAACATGACTTCTGTGCCATGATTATCATGTTTGGACGTGTCATTTACCTTCGTCCTCTGTTCACGACATGTAATACCAAATTTAGAATATGTGGAGCTAGCGAAACAGCCACGAGCACGCTATGCGCGTAGCATGTAGTCATGTTTTACGTTACGCGCATTTAAAGATAATCTTGTTTGGACGTATTGTTTACCTTCGTTGTCCATTGACGTCACGTAATACCAAATTTGGTATATGTGAAGCAAGCGAAACGAGCGCGAGCGCACCACGAGCGTGGCGTGTAGTGACTCCTGTGACATGAATGTCATGATTTCCACGTTAGTGCCTGTCACCTATGTTTGCTATGCTGTCATGTCATGCCACACTAGCTTTGAAATATGTCATGCGAACGAAATTACTGCAAGGGCAGGAAGACCATGACAAGTAAATCATTACATTCATATAGATAGATAGATAGATAGATAGATAGATAGATAGATAGATAGATAGATAGATAGATAGATAGATAGATAGATAGATAGATAGATAGATAGATAGATAGATAGATAGATAGATAGATAGATAGATAGATAGATAGATAGATAGATAGATAGATAGATAGATAGATAGATAGGCTCAAAGTCACCGTAGTTTGCTTCGCATTTAATAATATATTCAGGATGATAAAAATGGTTTCGCTAATTCTCGGGGCCAACGCACTTACTGCAGTTAGTCTCGCTGGACTCCATAGCGCTGAACCGTGTGAAACAAATGTACTCAGGTGAGTTTATTGCATACTATAAACACCGTGCAGTCGAGTTTTCCAGTGCGACTGCAGCGCCAGAACTCAATGCGCAGCGGAGAAAAAACGCCACAACAGGTTGGGGTCAGTCAAAAAGGAACGCGATGTCCGCGTCTCCCTGCCATCGTGAGTGGCCGGATTGCAGCAGGGATACACGGGAACGCGGTCGCGCGTCTCTTTTTTTGCGTGCCCCCCACGACCAACGTCAGTGAACTTAGGCAATGCCTCCTAAAAAAATTATACCTGTAACGTGAGGCGCGAACGCGTTGCCCAACCCTTTGATTTCACCCTCCTCCTTCGCTACGAACGCAAGCGTCTCTGACGACCGCTCCTGCGAACACAGCAATGCTCTCACAGTTGCCTCCGAGCAGCCGTCATGTCACGTGACAGAACGTTACGGTAATGTCACGTGACTGAGCGGTACGGAGGTGAGCGCTCTCACGAGGCGGCCGGTCGCAACACAAGGCATGAGGCATGGCCTCCGAGATCGCCTGCTGGCAGGAGGCTCCCAATTGAAATGAGAACGACGTTCCAGGCACAGTTCTTCTAGGAGGCGTTGACTTAGGATGGGCAAGTGCCAGCAACGCAGCTCCCTCTGGTCAGCGGACGGTGCCTATAGTAACAGCAGTTCAGGTGAGTACGACTGCCCCGGATAACAAAATGACTTCAGCGGGAATTACAAACAAAAGAGCATACGTATGATATAAGTTATAGCACTGTGATGCTATCGCAGATCGTGGACTAAAAAAAAAAAGAAAGAAAAAAGGGAAGCCAAAGACTCCCTATTTTGCGCAAAATCACACATTATTTGTAAATAAAAGCAACATTTGCACTCAGAACATGTCTTAGGCCGGCTTATATTAACCTCGAATATCTTTTTATTCCTTCCAGTCACTTTTGCAACTACAGGCGGCGGCGGCGGCCGCATGCATATCAGATTGAGGCGAAAATACATGAGGCCTGACAGGCATTTCGCTCAGTCGAGTGGGCGCAAGCTTCGAAACGGGGAAATTTGTTGCATGCTAAAGCTTTTCCTGCTCACTTTATTCGAAGAGCCCTCCTATATATTCTGCACAGCATTTAAATCATCTGAGCGCCAAGCTCTTTAAGCCATGTGCCAAACATTCAATTCAAGCACCAACATATTTAATCCAAGCGCCAACTCAATCAGGGCGCGTGCCAGTGAGTTTATTCTAAGTGCCACCGTGTTATATACAATTGCCAATGTCTTTATTTCAGGTGCCAGCCAGTTTAATCCATGAAAAAAAAAATTGGCAGGTCACACGTACCGTAGAAATCGATGATATGCGAAGCACGAATGAGAAAGGTTGATATGTCACATTAAAATCAGCACAACGTTAACAGGTGGAGGTAAATGATGCCGTACAGTACCTCCGTGTCATGACTATCATGTTTAGACCTGTCATTTACCTTTGTCATCTATTCACGTCCCGTGATACCAAATTTAGTATATGAGGAGCTAGCGAAAACGGCCGCGAGCATGCTATAAGCGTGGTATGTTGTCATGTTCTTACATGAGACGTGTGTCAGGATTATCATGTTTGCACCAGTCATGTACTTCCGTCATCCATGGACGTCACGTAACACCTAGTTTGGTATATGTGGAGTTATCAGAATGGCCGTGAGCGCATCATGAAGGGCCCAATATACTCCTATGTAGCGTTGACGGGCGCGCACACTGCATGGGCACAGAGACGCTACGTTAGCAAAACGCGAGTACTCTATATAGTCTGATGCCAGGCGCGACCAGCGTCCGTCGGCGCGGCCCGACGGCAACCGGCGCGAAATGCGACATGCTGCATTAAAGTAGCCACCTTGTAAATTATTTTTTTCTTGCAGTTGATTACCTGTATTTAGACATGACGTGTGAGGTCAGTCGTCGCTTCGTCGAGTTGAATGATATTTATTTATTACTTATCCCACGTCGCTGAGTGCGCCATAGCGACTTTCCGGTGTTTCCTTTCGAGTAATTGCTATCATGGGGCTCCACGTGTAGTGAATATTGCCGTTTGTAGATCGGCCCAATATTTCACGCAAATCAAACTATACAACTATATATTGCCTGGTGGCTGTTGCGAAGAAATCTGCACGTATGATCTGAGTGAACGGGCATCTCAAGATTTGCGAATTCGTTGTGTGTGTGGCAGCATTATTTTGTTTATTTATAAATATGTTAAGCGACCTTTTATCACAGACCTATTCAAGTAAAGTGTACTGTTGATGATGTAGACCAATTGTGCCGAGTCTTTTAGGTTATTTTTATAGATCTAGTCGTAACTTGCCCAATAAATCATTCAGTGAATTAAAGCAACCCTTATTTCACTTGTGATACTTCGGCACACATATGTTAAATCCCGGAGTTTATGCCTAATTGTAATCACGTTAGCGCCACATAGCATATTTCCTTAGCACCCCTTTCTTGGTGCACGCGATGCAAACAACGAGCGTCTTGCTGTCCTGCATCACCATTTTCACAGCAACTCTTCCGTTCGGAAGGATGTCTGTCGATGCTACACTACATTATGCCCCCTTTCTACAACTTGGATAATTCTCACTAGTTGTGAAACCTTCCAACTTGTACCTTGAGAGATTTAAGCCATGAAATTGAGGAGCAATCACCATTGTATCGCTAAAGAGCGCGTACACGCCGGGCGCATAAAAAAATTGGCAGCATATCCACAGAGTGAATGATGGAGAGTGGGGCGAAGCACTCGTCCGTTCATTCGTTCGTGCTTCCGTCCGTCCATGCGTCCATCTGTGTGACCGTCCATGCGTCTATCCGCCCGTCCGTGCATGCGTCTGTTCGTGCGTCCATCCCTGCGTTCGTCCATGCATCCGCCCCTGCGTCCGTTCATGCGTCCATCCATGCATCTGTCTGTGTGTCCGTTCGTCCATCTATTCAACACTCCAAGTACCAACATCTCGCATCTTTTCATCATATATTCCCCATATAGAAGCACCGCCATCCAGGGTACATTCCAAGAACTAAACTAGAGGTGGCACACGTACACTTTCTTACGGCTTGCGCGTCAGGTCTACTTCCCACCTTTAACCACCTCGAGTTCATGGTATATACTAGTTCACTGTATTCATGGCACTGCGGCCGAACGCTCGCTAAACCTTTTTAAAACCAAGGAGGTCACGCCCAGTGAGTATAACGTAGCAACCCTTTCTTGTCAGATAGTGCTCAATGTACATGCCGGTGGCTGCTAATGGCAAATGAGAGACCGCAGCGACGCCAGTGTTCATTCTCGTGGCTTCATGGCGTGGTCAAAGTGATGTTCTCTAGCACGGTGGCTTACTCGCGTGGGCGCTTAACTCGGATTCGGGCGCTTTGTACATCTCATGCTTCCACCGCTAAGTTCCCTTAGAAGCTAGAGTGGTTAAAGGGAGCATGAAGGTCACTTTTCTTGCTTCCGTGGCCACATTAAAAAAAAAAGGAGCGAGTGCTACTTCCTTACAAACGAAGTAGCACTTGAGACAGTTGTTTGTCCGCTAGGCCTGTGTGTGCTCATTTTGTGTGTTCTCTCTGCTCGAGGCGTGTGCTGCAAGTTGTAGCTGCTGGTCATTCTTCGCAAGACT